TTAGCGAAAGTTTACTTTTTTTGTGATTGTGACACTAATTAAAATAAATGCATACAGATTCTGTGTCACTGTTGAATTAAACATTGCAGCCGATTATGTCATCTGAAAATTTAATCCGTGTAGTGCAGTTGTTTCCAAACTGTTATTTTTTTTTTTTTTTTTTGTCGCGGTGCAATTTTTTCCGAATAAATTTTTTTTTTAACGGCCACCTAATGTAAAAGTATGACTATTCGTATGTAAAAAGTAAAGAAAATAATAAAACTCGTGTATCTTCGAGTATTTCGCCGCGCTTCTGTGAAGAGGTCGCGGCCCCCGGAGTCCCTGTTTGGGAGAAGTATCATTGCTAAAAAGTAAAAGATTCTTTCAGTAAACTACAGGCTGACATTCTTTGTTTTATAGTATAGGTAATTTATAATTTTTCTGATTTGATCATACATAATCACACATTATTTCTGAGGTGAGCTGCATTGGGGGGGGGGGGGGGGGGGGGGGGGGGGGGGGGGGGGGGGTATTTTGAACAAGCTCCACCCGGGTGTGGCGTGTGGCCCTAATACCTAAATGTTGGAAGAGGTTTCTTATACTTCTTCATGGGGGATTCTCATCTGAGTGGTCGCACTTTGTGTCAGTTGGTGTTAATCGGTTGTTGTGTGGGCCTAGTGAGTTTGAACGTCACTCTCTGGTCATTTAATCACAGATATTCATTTCTGCAGCCTTTTTCTCTAATAGCATACACCATCTACGTGTTTTTAAAGTATCTGTTTGTTATCCGTTTGAATTGCAACAATACACCTGCTGCCTAGAGGCTCGACAAGTAAACTATGTATTTACTAGCTGTACCTTCTAAAAGTATATAGTCTTATTCTGTAAAAAATTATTGAACATGTTTAAACATATTGTAATTGGTAAGTACCACATAAAACTTAAATACATTCCTCTTTTTTTAGCGTCTCGGGCTCTTAAGATTCACTGTTGCAGACATCACACACCTCTGTTCATTTACATGACTGGCCTTCTCTTTTCAGTTGGTGACTCCAAGTATTTATAGGTTGAATGAACAGTATATCTAAACCATCTTCTTGGTCTGCCTTTTCTGTTCAACTCTTTTGTGATAGCAAACGTTGCCTCTCTGTTATCTTCAGTTCTCTTTATGTGTTCCCAACAATTGCAGTCTACTAGCACTCATGATACCAGTTGAACGTTAAATGTTGAATTAAGAATCGACATCACAGCACTCGGGACACTTCCATAAGCGCTCCGTCCCCATCGTCAGCAGCAAGCGAAGAGTTAAAATTCAGATGGTACCAGTTACAGTCTGATTGTATATCTGTCTCGCCCTTCCCCGAGAGTCGAGCGTCGACGATACCAGTAACTGGATGTAACCTAATTATATAGATTATGAATTTCATCGTTGCTTCTCACTCTTTTCTGAATTTTTGATGGGTCCAAGTCTCCGTCGCAAGAAATTTTGTCGAGAGTTTCTTAAAAAAAATGTGTTTTATTTAGTTGTACACCAGGTTTCGGAGCCATAAAGCACAGCTGGTCTTACCAATTGTTTCTATATTTTTATCTTTGTGTTACAAGATAAAACAATTTATTTTAGCAGATGCAGGGCAAGTATAGCTTATTTCAAGACTAGCTGTACCTGAAAATAGCTTTCAGCTAACAGTGTCTGTCACCCCCCCCTCCCACCCCACCCCCACCAAAACTCCTCTCCCCGACGCAGTCCATAATTCCGCATCCGGAAGGATGAACCACCCCCCCCCCCCCCCCAGTTGTTCCCCCCCCCCCCCCCCCCCCCCCCCAAACCCCCCCCCCCCCCCCCCCCAGCTCCTCTCCCCTCGACGCAGTCATATTTCCGCCTCCGAAGGATTGAAAATTCATCCATGGCGAAATTATTAAAATAGAAATAGTTAAGAAATAAGAACTTCAAAATAATATTTTAAGCTCTCTCAGCTAACTGTGTTTGGCATAACCCCTCCCCTCCCACCTTTTTTTTCACCAATCATATTTCCCTCTCCGTAGGATTGAAAAATCATCCATGGCGAAATTATTAAAATAGAAATAGTTAAGAAATGAGAAGAATAAAATAATATTTTCAGCTCTCTCAGCTAACTGAGTTTGGCATAACCCCCCCCCCCCTTTTTTTTTTCACCAATCATATTTCCCTCTCCGTAGGATTGAAAAATCATCACCTGGCGAAATTATTAAAATAGAAATAGTTCAGAAATGAGAACATTAAAATAATATTTTAAGCTCTCTCAGCTAACGGTGACTGGCATTACCCCCCCCCCCCCACTTACACCTCCCTCCCAAAGATTGAAAAATCATCACCTGGTGAAGTCATTATCTCACTCTCCGAAGGACTGAAAAATCATCCCTGACGAAATTATATAAATAGAAATAGTTAAGAAATGAGACTTTAAAAATAACTATTTAATAGCTCTCTCAGCTAACTGTGTCGGGCATACCCCCCCCCCCCCCCCATATACTATCATATCTCCCTCTCAATATAAGATATTCCATAAAAATTCATCAAACCTGGCAAATTATTATTCAATAGAAATAGTTGAGATGAGAACTTTAAAATAATATTCTAAGCTCTCTCAGCTAACTGTGTCTGGCATAAACACCCCACCCCTCCCCATAATCATATCATCTTCTATTAAAGGATGGGGAAGTCACCGTGTAACGAAATATTGTAACTAAATTGAGCTTGCATCCGTGTCTACCCAGACTTAAATAGGTAGCATTAACTTGTACTGAGAAGTAAATGTAGCCAGTCTAACAGCTACCACATCACCCATCCAGTACCAGTACTACTGCAACCACTACCACCACCACAACAACAAAAACTGTCACTACAGTCTGTGTAGGTCGGTGTAGAAAATATGCTGTCGCCACGGACTATTTAGTTTGATTTTGCCCCGGACATATGAAAAAAAAAAAAAAATTTCATCACGTAACCAGTGATGGAACCCACAGTGTAAAGTACACTAAACTCACGAATAGGGTTGAAAAATACCCCGCACCCGTCATATCTCCCTCTCCGAGGGAACGATTTTTAAGTGACCTTGGCATCCGTGTCCACCCAAACTAAACTGGACTGTCAGCCGTCTTAGTTAACAGTTTCTGTCATCACCGAATAATTTTTGATCGAAAAGTGTCGCGGGGAGGCTAGTTAGGACTTAACTGAAATCGGATGTCTTTGGGCGAAAGCGCAGATAATGCAGCCTTGGTGTAAACCACAACACAACGTGGCAACCACTCTTTTTAGGCGGAAAAGAAAAATTATCACCCAGCAGGGAATCGAGCACCTGTCAATCGAGTGAAGGATGACATACTTACAAATTTACTACCGACGACTGAAGAGTTTAGGTCAGATATCTCAGCCTAGCTGTAAACCACAACACAATATTCCGACTGCCTTCTCGAGGGCGAACAAAGATTACTCGTGACATGACCATTGAGCATCACGTCGCCGCGTAGATATCGCAGCCTAGCCATAAACCACAACACAACGTGCCAGAAGCCCAGTTAAGGGCTAAAAAAATGTTTTCACCTAGCGGGGAATCGAACGCGGGTCACCTGCATGATAGGCAGAATAGTTAACAACTACGCCACCAAACACTCAATCAAATAGTGGAAATGAAATTATAGGTTCTCATCAAAACTACGGCCACTTATTATGGAGTACGCCGGAGTTCAGTCCCCTGGCCGTATTGCAATTACGGAGTGGACAAGAGGTAACGACACAAATGACGTACTCACTGTGTGTTGGCGATAGACAGCGTGAACCGATGAGGTTATTACTGTGTGTTGGCGATAGATGCACTGCTGTCATAATAGGGTTATGGTTGGGTTAGGGTTTGGGTTAGGGTTAAGGTTAGGGTTAAGGTTAGGATTAGGGTATTGGTACTCCTTAAAACTACGGCCACTCCTAACCCTACCCCTAACCCTAACCCTACCCCTAACACTAACCCTAACCCAAACCCTAACCCTAACCCGATTATGACAGCAGTGCATCTATCTCAAACACACAGTAATTACATCATTTTTGTCGTTCCCTCTTGTCCACTCCGTAATTTCAATGCGGCCAGGGGACTGAACTGCGGCGTACTCCATAATAAGCGGCCGTAGTTTTAAGGAGAACCGAAATTATATAATAATGCAAAGTTCAATAAGAGCTCAGCAGTTAAATATGGCCGATCACATAAAAACAAATCCGGGCCGGCAACGAAACAAATAATGATTTGGCTGTTGCTGGAGCTACGTTGTTCGTGGTTTGTACGATTTTCTGACAAAAAATTTTAATTTTTTTTTTTAAAGATGCATAGCTTGATGTTCAAGGGTGGCAAGAAACTCTGGCTGGTGTCGACAGATTTACTAATATAATTAATTTAACTCGTTCAAATCAGTTAAACTTTATTCCTTAATTGTATACACGAAACTAGTCCACAAAAATCAGAGACTGACCACTGATCAGCCAGTTGCACTAATTTGAGTTATAATTACTTCACACCAGTTCAGGTTAACCTAAAAAAAAATTAGCAAAGATAAATGCAGCAGCCGGATGTGGTGTTGATCATATCACCCATCGAATGCCGATATTCTTCAAAATGTAGGTCTAGCTATGCATGCCTCACGTCTTTGGGTCAGAACTGAAAAAGTTCCAGTGGACCAAGAAGTGAAGAAAAGACGATGGCGTTGGATAGGACACACGTTGAGAAAACGTGGGAACAATACAACTAGAATGTCTGTGCACTGGAACCCAAAGAGACATAGAAATAAAGGAAAAGGGAAAAAACACACACGGAGAAAGGAGCTAGAGGGTGAAGTTGAAAAGATGGGAAGCGCAAGGGGTGAGCAGCATGCAGTAGCGAAGGATAGAACGACTTGTCGTGAGTTGATTGAAAGCATATGTTCCATTTGGGGATAAAAGGCAGAAAATGAAGACTAATAAGTATGGTAAATTTAATCTGTGCATGTTGTTCAATTATCAGCTCCCTCTGGACAGCGGCCAAGTGCATGTATGGGTGACGGTGGTGGCCCAATGATGTGTGGTGACAACTTTGAATTCTTGGTTGGCATTGCCTCCTGGGCCCCGAATGTCTGTGATGGTAAGTTACTGCTTTGTATTTTTACTCTTGTTCGTGGGCCTTTAGACTTCTTTTTCTTTTGTTCCACTTGTACCCCAATGAAGTTATGGGGGGGGGGGGGGGGGGAAAGATGTAATGTTCGTTGATGAGCTCTGTCAACAGCACTATTAAGATTGATGTTTAGTTCTTTATGCCATCACTCCATATTTTTCCAAGGTCTTCACCTATCTTCCTCTAGTTGTATCGTTTCAGTGTGGCTCGCTGTGGTAGATTAGTACCAAGGTATTTTTGTTAGGTGTCCAAACCACTCCATTTGTTGTTCTTTAGGACCTTTAAGACTGACTTTATTCCTAGCATTCGTCTCATTTCGTGATTTCGTATTCTGTCTTTTCTTGAAACTCCTGCAGTTCTTCTGACATTTCATCTCTGTCGTCAAAAATAGTTCTGATAAAATTCATTTTAGTAATTCGTGGTATCTGCTAGTGTGTCAACAAAGAAGATAGTTGCACTAATGCGTCATTAGCTTAGGCACATCTCGAGCTAATTTCTCTGTCCAGTGAAATAAGCTCAAAATGTGCCAAAGCTAATTACGTCGACGACAACATAGCAAATAGTGATTTTCACTATTTGGTCGAATACGAATAGCGGGACCAACTATTCGGCCGAATACGAATACGAATACCAATAGTGAATAAAATATATCTAAAAAAAAAAAAAAAAAGAACAGTAAAAGAACAGTTAAAACAGAAAGTAGAGACAGCATTCAAACAACTTCCACATGTAGTTGGCAATATTGAGGAAGAATGGAGTAAATATAAAAACACTATGCTTAGTATTGCAGAAGAATTATGTGGAAAACGGAAGAGTGAAAACAGAAGGGGAAATAACAAATATTCACCTTGGTGGTGCGAAGAAGTAAAAGAAGCAATTAAAAAGAAAAAGGACTTGTATAAACAGTGGATAAAATCAAAGAAAGAAGAAGATTATATAAACTATAGACTGCAAAGGAGAGAAACCAACAGGAGTGTCAAGAAAGCAAAACAAGCATCCTGGGAACGTTTCGGTAAGTCACTAGCAGAAAATGAGAAAGCCAGCAGAAAATTTTTCAAAGTAGTTAAAAATATGCGAAAAAGAGATGAGAGCTACAACCCCACTAAAATAATTAATGATAAGACAGGAAGGCCATTGATAGATTCACCCGAGATGGCAGAGAGATGGCGGGAATACTTCAAGGAGCTCTTTAATCCTCTAGGAGATCATCAGGAAAGAACAACTGAAGAGCACAGAGCAACAGTGTTAGAACCATACATACTAATGGATGAAAAAGAAAAAGTCATTAAGCAGTCTCCCAAATATAAAGCACCAGGAGCTAATAGATTACCAACAGAAATAATTCAAACAGCAGGTGAAAGCAGCATCAGATGGCTTCACAGAATATTTAATGCTGCATGGGTACAACAAACTGCCCCTATAGATTGGCAACATGCAATAGTTATACCATTGTGGAAGAACAAAGCAAGCAAACGAGAATGCGGTCAATACCGAGGCATCTCTCTTTTAAGCTATGTTGGAAAAATGTATGCCAAGATAATAGAAACAAGACTGAGACCAGTGATAGAACCACAGCTGGCAGAAGAACAGATAGGATTTAGGAGAAATAGAAGCTGCACAGATGCAATCTTCACACTTAAACAGTTAACAGAAAAGAACATTGAATACAATTAGATCTTATTTGTGGAATTCGTAGACCAGGAGAAGGCATTTGACAGAGTCGACAGACAATTATTATGGAAAGTAATGGTAAGATATGGAGTAAGCGAACACCTCATCGAAGTGTACACCCACAGCTGTAAAAGAGGAAGTGAAGAAGAGGAAGAAGAGAAGAAAAAAAAAACACACACACATTCATTATGTACAGATGCAATCTTCACACTTAAACAGTTAACAGAAAAGAACATTGAATACAATTAGATCTTATTTGTGGAATTCGTAGACCAGGAGAAGGCATTTGACAGAGTCGACAGACAATTATTATGGAAAGTAATGGTAAGATATGGAGTAAGCGAACACCTCATCGAAGTGTACACCCACAGCTGTAAAAGAGGAAGTGAAGAAGAGGAAGAAGAGAAGAAAAAAAAACACACACACACATTCATTATGTTAAATGTACACTGAACTTTTACTTCACATAAATAAGCACAGAATCGTCATCTTCTTCTTTAGCGTTCTGACTCCTTGAGGTTTACTGTTGAAGATATCACTCGTCTCCATTCATCTCTCTGGATGGCCTTATCTTCACAATTTGTGACACCAGTTATTTGCAGGTCTGGCTGGACATTATCACTCGAACTTCTTTTTTGTCTGCCTCGTGGTCTGCCTCTCAGGTGTGTACAGTTTTTACTTCTCTGTCATCTGACATTCTTTCAATACGCCCCAACCAGTTTAGTCTATTAGCTCTCATGATGCCAGTGATCAATGGTGATTTAAACAGATTATGTGTTACGTTGTTGCTTCTCACTCTCCATTCCCCACTTTTGGCAATTTTGACGAGTCCAAAGATTTTTCGTAAGACTGTTTTCGAAAACCTGTAATAATGCCTCATCTCTTTTATTTCTGCTTCAAGTTTCAGAGCCATATAACACGACTGGTCTTATCAACGTTTTATATATTTTGATCTTGGTGTTGCGAGACAGAGACTTTGACTTTAGCAGATGTTAAAGGGCATAGTATACTTTATTTCTAGATTGTATTTCTTCTCTCAGCATGTTGGAGCAGTTGAAGTTTGCACCCGAGTACTTATATGTTTCCGTTCGTTTGATTTTCATATTATCGACTTGGATGTGGCCGGAGTTTATATTCTTTCCATGTTTAGTTAGTATTCGTACAGAATAGTAAACATTTAAAAACATTTTATGTTTTGCATCCTTCAGTCAGTCTGTGGTAACTAATAACTAGGAATGAAAGAATCCTAAGTATTAAAACAAGTAACTAAACTTGGAAATTGTCACAGACAGCTTAGTTAATGCAGGAAAGCTTTCAACAAAACCAATCGTTCCATGTTGTAAGTATTAAGGCCGTGTATGCAGAAGCGGGTGTAAGGTAACTGCTATTCGTATTCGGCCCGACTGCAACTATTTGGCCGAATACCGAATACTCAATAAGTCCACTATTCGGCCCCGAAGCGAATACGAAGCGAATATTCGGTACAGCCCTAATGAAAACAGCCTCGTCAACCAAGTACAAGTCACTAGGCTGTCTGTGATATTTTTTGACTACTCTGTCTCATCCTCTGTTCTCATCTTGATTGTCTTGTACATAGCGATGCCGAGGAGAGCTATAATTTACCAGAAAGAGCCATTTGTGTGCTTTGTAAATTGACATTTCCAGGTACTCTGTAATTCCCTCTGTCCAGTGCTTCATGGTTGGTCTCTTCTTCGCCTCCCACCTGGTCTATACATCACTGCTTATTGTAGTATATTGTCTGCTGACATCTGTGTTATATAGCTAAACAATTTCAACTGTTGTCTTCTAATGAAATGCGGAGCTGCTGCTACCCCATTTTTCTTTGGATTTATTCGTTTCTGATCTTATATCTTCTTGTTATATTGAAATCTCTTTGCAGGAATCTCATTTCAGTTGTAATGTTAATTTCTCGTTTTCTGTCATTGCCCAGGTCTGGTATTGATAACACGCGGTTGGAGAGAATATTGTGTCATTGAATGCTCTTGTTGTTTCTATTGATACATTTTTGATTCTTACTTTTGCTGCTATTTCCCCGATGAACTGGGATGCTTTTTTTTTTTTTTTTTGAAATATCCGACTATTCTGTAAAAAGACACATGTACAGCTCCTACATTTTTTTTCTCAATAATTGGCTGACACTACCAACTGAGGAAAACTACAAGTGAACACGTAGAGGTATAGACACCCAAGCAATCAAATCGATGGCGAGCACCATATGGCGTAAGCTGCGCCCGATGGCCAAGAACTGGATCCTATGGTTCTAGCTGGTTGAGAGCTATACTCTATTGTGTGCACATGTCGGCAAAAGTAGAAATAGTGGTCCAATTTAGTGCCCACACACACACACACACACACAAACACACATATATATATATATAAAACTGAATGACCCTTTTCCGCGCGTACTGTGCATATAGGACTAGATCTATATTTCATAGACCAATGGGCACTTGGTGGGTTGATATAATCACCATCATGCCGGTCGACCTGGAAGTTAAAGTCCTTTTTGAAACAAGTCAGGCTTAGTCAGGACACGACCCAGGACCTTCCGATCCTCAGTCTAGAGTCTAGCCGCTACATTACGGCGGTTCCATAAATAATAAATTATTATATATATATATATATATATATATATATATATATATATATATATATATATATATATATATATATACATTTATATAAAGAAGAGCCTATATGTTGACCACCCACGGGAGTGTAGCAAACCGGTGTTATTAACCCTTTCCTTTAATGTCAGCTCCTGAAAACTCATGTCCCACAGTACATTAGATGAATATTCTAAACACTCTACCAATTTATTCCATATTTTGCAATTCAAAATAGTAAAATTCAAATTTCTTTGAGACTTCAATATTTTACCAGCGCTTCTAAGAATGTTCTATTGTTAAAGCGCAACATAAACACATGAACCTTGGAAACGTAAAAATATTATATATATATACAAATATATATAAATAAATAAACAAACAGACAATGTATCGATAAGCACTTTAGAAAAGATAGATTATTTTGCCTGGTTTGTCCTTCTAACTTTATACCTCTTTCGGTGAGTGCCAGTCTTTTTCTTCGCGTTCACCGGCTGTGAATTTTGGCCAAAGGTCTAGGTAGTTCGTCCATTTGGACTTTTGGCTTTTACCTGGACCTGAGTTTTGCTTGTACATCCGTTTTACTGGCTTTTTTGTTTGCCGTTCCCTGCCTTACTGGCAGATGTACTCCGACTTTGAGTGTCGATCAATTTGTGTCTTTTTATTATAAATACGACGATAATATGTATTATGTTAAAGCCTTAACAGATTAGTTACTATCCAGGACTCTCATCACAAAGTCTCAAGCAGCTGCCTACGTGCTCCAATCGTCTCCTTATTTGAATAGTAATTCACGATTATCATAGCACTAGTGGTAATTCATTTTCTTCTCCGTGTTCACCAGCGGCAAGTTCTGGTTGTTCATTCAATTTTGGACTGCAGTCCTGTTCCAGAACCCGAGTGTTGCGTATGCATCCGTTTTACATATCTGACTCATTTGTGTGCAGACTGCTGCCTCCTTGCCTTTCAGGCAGATGCACTCCGACTTCAAAGGAAGCTCCCAATTAGTCGACTCTTACAAAATGCTTTTGGGTAGGCAGTGGGTCTATTCTTGTTTTACCTACATTAGGGCCCCAAAATCCATACGGGGAGTGGTAATTGAAACAACCATATTCTGAACAACCCGCCTAGGGTGCGGTAAGGATATAAAGAACTTAACGATAATGTTTTGTACCTTAATTTATAGATGTTTACATGTCATACTAAATTCACCGTGCTCGTTTTCATTTTCCTAGGTGAAAAACCATCCGTGTACACTCGGGTGACAGCATATCTTCAATGGATATCTGAACGAATGCAAAACAGCCCCGTGTTGTAATATCGCTTCTGAACTGATGCAAACAGCAGTGGACTGTTTTAAGCAAGCTACAATATGGACAACAACTGACTCTGAACGAAACTAGCACTGCTGACAAATATATGGTTACTGAGTTTTTGTGAATTTTTGAAGCTTCTGTCAGATGGTAGATGACTGTTCTGTTAGAAATATTGAGTCATTAAACATGTGCCATTTTTTTATTTACATATTTTTTCTTCATTTCATTTCTAACTACACATTCTCACAAGTGTACCTTAAAAATATTATTTTACCTGAAGTAAAACATCTTCTACATTTCTTACATATTTCGGATGTAAATACACACATACAAACATAGATGTGTACATGTGTATGTGTGTGTATATAGGTGTGTGTGTATGTGTATTTGTGTGTGTCAGATATCTTCTAACGAGTGTTGCAGTTGTAACCTATGGTGTCATTTCAATGGGTTGAGACGAATTTTGTCCATATTCCATAGTTGTTGATTTCGAGCTGCCCGACAGATATGGCCAATGAAGATAACTTTTTTAAAGGGGTGCCTAGCTGATCATGTATCATAGTACACTTGTTTCCATGGCACAGCGCACACGCCATTTGCAGGTGACAGGTTCGATTCCCTGCACGTTAACCATAGCTTTCAATTTTTATGTTCTCTAGTATGTTCTTCTATCCTCCCACTTCATTCTATGAGTGCCGATCAATACATTGGTGTTTTTTCATTATACACAACATTTCTAAGGCCTCAATGGTTCCCTCTTTGTTTATTTATCGTAGAAAACCGAGCAGGCTGGCTTTAAAAAAAAAAAACCAGTAGTTAGAAGAATACACAGTGCAGCTAAAGATGTCAAATACATTCTTTTTTTCTAAATTTGCTATCAAACTATTACTACTGTCTGTATTTACCGCTTTTTAGGGGTGTGCAGAACGGTTTGTGGAAAGGCGGGGGGGGGGGGGTGGCTTAGGATTTAGGGCCATATGGCTAGTACTGCCACCATGGATTGTGCAAGTAAAAATAACTGCCACCTCCTTGCTGAGGATCGAACCCGTGTCTTCAACGTGAGAGACCGACGTTGTAACGGCGCAGTTTCTCTTGCTTTATTTACTAATGTTAAACGACAAACACAAAAAAATCTATAACTTATTTTAAAATCAATAGAATTTAATACAGTGATACATCTGTATGGGTTCCGGGGCCCCATTATAGGGACACCCCAGCAAGCATGTCGTAAGAGTCGATTAATTGGGGGAGGGGGGGGGGCCTTCCTTTAAATTCGGATTGCATCTGCCCGAGCCTCAAGGAATAATTAACTGTAAACAAATAAGCCAGAAAAACTGATGTACACTCAAAGCCATTGCTCCAAGGGACGAACAACCAGGACTTTCTGTCGCAGCTTAAAGCCAGTGAACAAAGAAGAAGAAGATGAATACAGTGATATAAGTACTGTTATATAAATGTTGAATGTTGAAAAAGGAATCGGCATCATAGCCCTCGGGACATTTTCATCAGCTCTCTGTCCATATCTTCGGCAAAAAGCGCAGAGTTTCAGTTCTGATGGCCCCAGTAACAGTCTGATTGTTTTCTTTGAGCATCGAACATCGGCCAGATCTGCTAGTCACTCCCCGCAGCACTATTCTCCTTAGACCGCGATAGTCTCTTTATGCCTGTGCACAGACCATTCGCTGCGAAAAGTCTACTATCATAACCATGTTAACACATATAACACTTATTGCTCACACAATCATCAGAGCTAGACAGTTAGAATAGTGAAATAGGGACACCCAAGTCAGCCATGAAAATGAATGTATGTAATAAGTACAATATATATACATGTATTAATGAATAGGTTCTCAAGAATGTTCATTGACTGGAGCTCAGGACTCAGTGACATAACCCAGATATTGAAGCAGTCAGATCTTGGTTCAGGAGAGTACACGAGTTCATCATTGAAATCACAAGGAGCTGTGGGAAGAGAGCATGATGGTAATTATTAGATCACTTATCCTAGTTCGTAGGTCGATGCTCCCCTCAGTCCATGGTGATTCGACTGTAGTTGACTCAGTTATCTATGCCTCTAGTTGATCTGGTACCAGTTGATTACCTCACCATCGAGGACACAGGAACTGCATAGGGACTCAACAAGTCTCTCTCACAGATCAGGTCACAAAACTGCCTCAGAGCCCAACCAAGCTCTTGAAGACTGGTTCTCTAGATTGATGACACAGATGTCTGCAATTGCCCACTCGTCCTGGAGCTCACAAACACGCTCTTGCCATGTTGAGGTAGTGGCACAAAGGGCAGGACTTCTGGTTATGCTTGGTGCATAGAAGGTATCATCCTGTCAGGAAAGAACTCAGAATTAGTAATCAACTAAGGAGGTATCATCCTGTCAGGAAAGAACTCAGAATTAGTAATCACTAAGGAGGTATCATCCTGTCAGGAAAGAACTTAGAATTAGTAATCAGCTTTAATACGACATCAGCTCACCCCACCTCTGCTCCCCTTCTCCATTCCTCAGAGTGTACTCTCAAGACCAGGAGACAATGTCTCCTTTAATTTATGTCTGCAAAATAGTGCAACAGATAGAAAACCAGATATATAGTGGAGATAGATAGACACTACGACACATAAATCATCCTCTCTCCACCCTCACATCTGCACTCGCAGATATACCATGTTTACAGTTAATACCTATATATATTCCGTCTCCACAGGCCGTTCACTACACACCCACTGAATCTGTGTCAAACACACCTTTGACTCAGAGCGCTTAGCCCTGACAGCCGGTTAAAGATGACCTAAATTCCCTATTCCAGTTGTGCGGCCCAAACTTCGTTTGACTGGTCAGAGAATAATTACCAGTAGGGTTTAATATCTTTACAAATGGTGTGGGTTATGTAGATTACTAACTAATTAGTCTGTACAGGGAAAGGTCTAAGGTTCAGATCCTGATCTCTGGACATCAAGAACGGTCAAACTCTATGCGATCACACAGCTGACTCTGCCCTCTCTGCAGCAGTGGCCAACTTTAAAAAGACATCAATTATGGTACTCGTAAACTATAATCAACTTACCCAAGCTTATTAAATCTTCCAAGATAGAAATGGAACTTTGAATGCTCCAAATTTCTACATAGACTGTATACACGTCTAGACACTTCGGGATCAGGCGAAAGAATGCCTTTTTCAAAATCAAACTAGCGTCTCTAAGAAAGAAGTTCTCTTGTATTCCTGCCTAAGGAGTGAACAGGAATTTCTAAATAAAATACCAGAATTCGATAACCTATAGTTGCAAGTTTGAAAATAAAGATTTATCAAAGCAACTAGAAGGTCTAGAAATGAATATTCTACCAGATAAAGGTATAGATCAATATAAGGGACTATATACCCTTCTGGACGGGTTCAAGTTTGAAATTTGACTGTCCGCGTAGGGGACTTCAGAATCCCGACTCGTCTATAGTGTAGGGTGGCTGTTCACCTCACGACATCACCAGAACACTCAGCTCACGCTTTGAGATCTAATGTTCGGCCATGGGAACTGCTGTGGCATTTTGGGTACCGAACTCAAGTGCTCTCTGTGGTAATGGGGTGGGGGATGGAACTCATAGTGCATCCAGAAGAGGTAGGAAAGGGTGAGGGGAAAGAGGGCGGAATGCCATTTAGTTATTCCTCGTCGTTGCCGTCTTGCTGGATTCTAACATGGCCTTTAGCCGGGATTATACGCATCCCGTCACCAACTTTTGCTATCAGCCCATTGATAGGGTGAAATTGGTGGTTAAGTGTTCTAGTCCTGTCAGTATCGAACAATTTGTTTGCCCTATTTGCTGTCAGTCATATCCTGTTGTGAGCCCCAGCAGTCATGTTGATGTTGTATGTATGGTGTTGAATAAGATGGTTTTGAGTAATAATCCCCAGAATAAATGGACGCACACAACTAGGTGTATGCGTACATGCACTCGAGAATTCATACACTCAGACAATACTACATATTTGCACTCCCTTTCATACTTATCCTTATTATGCATACCTATTTGACATTCCGTACATCTGCATTCTCTTTCATCTGTGTCTACCAATGCCACTCCATTCTCAAACTAGATAAGGTTTTATATGCCGAGCTTTGTTTCACTAAGTATTGTCCATTCGCTTTTGTTGAGAAAAACACGATTTGTTAAAAAGCATGGCATCTAGACAAAAAAAAAAAAAAAAGCATTTCTGACAGATTTCAAATTGCTGACCACAAATATAGCAAAGAAAAAGAGCAATTGGCCAGAGATTCTGATAAGTTTAAAAAACATTTTTAAGATATAATAGAGTAATATATTCTATACTGAAAAGTCATTCTTGTGACAGCCCACTCCCCGAATCCCCCTAGCTCCCTATAATGTAGAAGAAGCAGCAACAAATGAGTTATTAATTCTAAAAAGATTCCCACATGTGTTCGTTACAGTCACTGAGCAAGAAACGAATAAGAAGCGTTGAGCACTAAGATGGACACATGATTAGTACTGGTAAAAGACAGCTTTTACATCCTGCGTGGCTTTGCCTGGCATCTCTGTAGCTGCTCTTGATAGTCTCTGACGAGCGTCCAACAGTAATGCGTCGCCATGGAAGTGGTCTAGTTTTCTTGGTCAAGTTATTAAGGAAGACATCCAAGTGGGAGTGGAAAAAAGGTGGATCTTCAAAGGCATTTTGCAGGCAAGAATGTAAAACTGAGACATGTCTTCGACCAGTTCCTTGTACTTTCAGCTCTGATATTTCCCCAAAAAATGTAGCTGCCACCAAATGAAGTGCATCGCAAGCTTTTTTCCTTTCTTCTTTTAATTGACTGAAACATATGTTGTGTCTGAGGAGCCTGTGAATCTGCGGACAACACAAATTCCCTGTATAATTTATGATTCCTTGAGTCCAGGACATTAGTTAGTCAAGTACTCGGAAGCTGATCCAGTCCGATCTATGGCGCTTCAAGTTCTGCAATCTTGCTCGTTCACACATTGAAGAGC